CAGCTCCAGAAAGAAAGTCAAAATAAATAAAGGGAGCAGACGGCGCTGAGCTACTTGGGTAGGGGAATCATAAGAACACCAGAAGAGCCCTGCTGGAACTCACCCCATGAGCGGGCAGACCCCCCCCCCTTTACTGAGAGCCAATATGGAGGAGAACACCCCCATCGTGCAGCACCCCCAGCAGTACGTACGCCAGGCAGACTTGACCAAAGTAGAAACAAGATGGATCCCAGGCAGGCAGGCAGGCCTCAGAATCATGCCCAGGCGAAACCCCTGAAAGGTGTGAGTTCTTGGCCAGACCCAGCCCTCCGCCCCGACATCTGCATAGCTGCCAGACAATGGACCTGCCTCGCCCCAGAGCCAACCCCATTCAACCTGGATCAATAATCCTGTCAGCCTCCCCTCACCTGTGCACACCCGCATTTCTTTCACAATGACAGCTCCTCTCTTTCCCACCTAGCACAAAAGGAGGGTTTCCAAGCGGCATGGTTCCTCTTTGATTAGTTTGATCAGGAATCCATTCGCCCTCTGAATCACCGGAGAGGGCCATCAGAGCTCCAGCCCAAACCCTATTTTACATCAAAACCTCTCCCGAGAACATCCCTCTGGCCATTCCTTGAAAGGGTATTCAGCCAGTCACAGACACACCCAGCTAATCTTATCAGAAGCACATCAACACCTCCGTTTACACCCAACCAGCTTCTGACTGACCCAAGGCCATTCAGCCAGGTGCAAGTGGAGGAGTGGGGAATCAAACCCGGTTCTCCCAGATTAGAGTCCGCACACTTAACCACTACACCAAACTGGTGTAGCCTCTGAGTCACCGGAGAGAGCCATCAGAGTGCCAGCCCAAACCCTATTTTACATCAAAACCCCTCCTGAGAACATCCCTCTGGCCATTCCTGGAAAGGGTATTCAGCCAGTCAGAGACACACCTAGCTAATCTTATCAGAAGCACATCAACACCTCCATTTACACCCGACCTCAATTCTCATGCAAACTGTCACAAGGTTTTCCGAGTCTTTGTCTGTCCTGGGAAAGCCATTTTTGGTTGTTATCTTGAGGGACAAATGTCAAGACTGCCTTGGGACACAATTATCCTGTAAAAATAGCGCTCAGAGCTCAGTCTCTTAAATCTATGCTGCTAGGAGTGACAACCAGTGTTCCATCCAGTCCACAGCATCCTGTCTCACAGGGTGGCCAACCAGTTCCTTTGGAAGTCCACCAACAGGGCAGAGAGGCCGAGGCCTTCATAAGGACATCAGAAGAGCCCTGCTGGATCAGACCAGTGAGGGTCCATCCAGTCCAGCACCCCGTCTCACACAGTGGCCAACCAGTTCCTCTGGAGGGCCAGCAACAGGGCAGAGAGGCCGAGCCCTGCCCCTGATAAGGACACCAGAAGAGCCCTGCTGGGTCAGACTGGTGAGGGTCCCTCTAGTCCAGCATCCTGCCTCACACAGGGGCCAACGTGTTCCTCTGGAGGGCCAACAGCAGGGCACAGAAGCCGAGGCCTTCCCCTGATCAGAACATCAGAAGAGCCCTGCTGGATCAGACCAACAGTCCATCTAGTCCAGCACCCCATCTCACACAGTGGCCAACCAGTTCCTCTGGAGGGCCAAAAGCAGGGCACAGAAGCCGAGGCCTTCCCCTGATCAGAACATCAGAAGAACCCTGCTGGATCAGACCAGTGGCCTATCACGTCGAGAATCCTGCCTCACACCGTGGCCAACCAGTTCCTCTGATGTTACCTCCTGGCTCTGGGATTCAGAGGCTTAGTACCTCTGACTGTGGAGGTTCCCCTCAGTCACCATGGGTAGTAGCTGCTGATAGACTGATCCTCCATTAATCTAATTCCCTTTTAAAGCTATCTATTCCTGTGGCCATCACTCCATCCTCTGGCAGTGAACTCCACATCTGAATCACTCTCTGCGTAAAGTAGTATTCCCTCGTCTGTCCCGAACCTACTGCCCATCCACTTCACTGGAGGCCCTCGAGTTCTAGTCTTTTGGGAGAGGGAGAAGAAGTTCCCCCTTTGTCCTCTCTCTCCGCCCCAGGCATAATTTCATAAACCTCTCTCATGTCCCCCCTTCCCCTTTAGTTGTCTCTTTTCTAAACGCAAAAGTCAGGCCCGGCCCGGCCCAGGCCACCAAGCCCCCGCCTGCCGGCTCACTTACGGTGGACATCGGGAGCATCCACGGTCTCGAAGAAGTCTTCCTCGTGGTCGATCTCCGCGTACTTGCTGAGGGAGCGCTTGTGGGCGAAGCAGAGCACCTCCTGGAGGATGTCCATCTTCCGCAGGATCTTGCACAGGCCGTGCAGCCGCATGGCCTCCTCGTGCCTCATGATGGCCTTCTTCAGGTGCGCCTTCCCTGCGGAGAGGCACCAGAGAGCAAAAGTGGAGCAGCGTCACCTCTGTGCACCACGTAGGCCTTCTTGGGGCCTTTGCGCGGCTTCATGGACAGCAGCACCCAGAGAGTCGAGAGGGGCCCCACAGGCCATCTATTCCAACCCCCCCGCTCAGTGCAGGAGCAGCCGAGAGCATCCCTGACAAGCGTTTTGTCCAGCCGCTGCTTAAAGACAGCCCGTGAGGGGGAGTCCACCACCTCCCCAGGTAGCCGATTCCACTGTGGCACATCTCTGACCGGTGCTCCCTCTAAGCCGTGGAGTCTTGTGAGCAAAAATTCTACTTTGTGAGCGACTGGCATTAAAGCTGTGAGCGAGCGATTTGGCTGCTGCATAAACTAGTTTGCTCTGGAGCCCCATCCTTCCTGAGCCAAGACAAAAATGTGTGAGCCGGAGGCTAATAAACACAGCTAGCTCACCCTAACTCAGCTTAGAGGGAACACTGCCAGTGACCAGTGTTCCCTCTAAGCTGAGTTAGGGTGAGCTAGCCCACAGTTTTTTAGCCTCCGGCTCACACATTTTTGTCTTAACTCAGGAGGGACGGCTCCAGAGCAAACTAATTGATGCAGCAGCCAAATCGCTTGCTCACAACTTTAATGCCGGTAGCTCACAAAGTAGAATTTTTGCTCACAAGACCCCACAGCTTAGAGGGAGCATCACCAGTGACCCCCTGTTCCACGCCCAGAAGATGACAAAAAACCTCCAGAATCCCCGGCCAAACTGGCCTGGAGAAAAACTGCTTCCTGACCCGAACGTGGTGATCCGCATTTCCCTGGGCGTGTAAGAAAGGGCCACCAGAACTGAGCACTGAGGCAACCCCTTCCTGCCCTCCCCTTCTCGGGATCTGCCCAAGTTTGCAGAATCCGCATTGCTGTCAGATGGGGCCATCCAGCCTCTGCTTGAAAACCTCCAAAGCAGGAGAGCCCCCACCTCCCGAGGAAGCCTGCTCCACTGAGGAACCGCGCAAACGGCCAGGAAGTGCTTCCTAATGTTTAGCCCAAAACTCTTTTGATTTAATTTCAACCTGCTGATTCTGGGGCAACAGAAAAAAATAAGTCGGCACGCTGGTGGAAGCATCATTTCCCACATGGTTAAAATCTCACTCCCTTTGCTCTGCAGCCGTCTGGATCCCAGGGGCCAATTCTGCTAGAGGATGGAGCCTCACGCCCTCTGCGTTGGAGAAGTTTCTTTCTGCTGGGGGAGGACACCCCCACCAGCGGAAGAGGCCTGTGGGGTCCAACCTGCCGTCTCTGGTCTGAAAGCGTCCGCCGGTTTCCGAAACACAGCAAAACCCTGCAATGCTCGCAAGCGGACAGCGGTGGGACGGCGCGTGCCCACCGCAAGCAGCAATGCCCCTGCCGCTCCACGAGGCCTCTGCCACGGAAAGACAGACTCCTGCCTGCATACGGCGTAAGAACTCTCTCCCAATCCCTACTTGGCTTTTTACTATAGTCGTCCCCAGGGGTCACTTCGTAGAAAAAGATGTGCCGGAGCTCATTAGCATAACTTATTAGCATATGCCACACCCCCTGACATCACCGGAAGTGTGTCAGAAGGCAACACCCACTGCTCAGGCTCCACTGGACTGTTTTGGGTTGCTAGCTATTGGGGGGGGGGGGGTGTGAGGATCGGCCCTCACCGCGGAG